ATAATTTAATTCCTTAAATAGGTACTCATGCTTTATTGAACCTGCATGAAGGACCGTCGAAGGATCAAGCTAGCTCGGACGCACAGTGATTGGAATTTTGTTTTATAAATGAATTTTATGCAATAAAAGTTTATTTATTTTTCTTGAATGAATTATTATGAATTATGCTTTCTAAGCAATTAGTTTGAATTCAAATATTTTTATTAAATTTTGTTTATATTTATTAAATGTGAATGTATGGGAAAGTAGAAAAAGAAATAATAACAGGATTTAAGGTTTGAATAAGAAATAGTTTTATAATTTTTCCAAGAAAGGTTTGTGTTTAAACCGCCATAGGTACCCAAAATGATGCATTCGGATAAACTGTTGTTGTCTAATATAATGATGTCCACAGACATCCTAATTGCTTTTGTTGAGTCAGTGTGTGTTTGACAGTTGCCCCACGAGTCTTAGGGATATCTGGACTGTTGAAAAGCGAGAAATCCAGCTCAGGTTGACCAAGTGTCCCCTGAGTCTTGCGAGGATTGCAGCTCGGGCTAACTTTGTGTTACCGAGGCCTACGAAGATGTGTCGCGCATGGCTTAATTCTTGTATGAATACAGAACATGGATATAAATGAATTTTAAATGTTTTGACAGTGGGGTTGGTATGTTGATATTCTATTTTTCCAAAACTTTCTTTTATCCCTCACATTTCTTTTAATGTTTTGTGCCCCCAAGCATTAAGAGTGTACCAAAGCACCACCACTGGGCGATCATCACCAACCACTCATCATTTTTCTGCTATGTAGGATATTCTCATGTATCCGTACTACTTTTGTAAATTAACTGAATTAGCATGCTATGAAATTGCCCTAGGATTTTCTATAAGGCCTGAGACTACAAAGATTTGATGTTGGATTGCGTGAATTCTAAAATTGTGCATGCTGAATGATTGTGGCTTATGAATTGAGTTTTGTACAGGTGAAATTTTTTAGGAAGCAAGCAATTTACTGGGGAGAGTGCCAAATTTTCGGCAGAAGTCAAACCTCAAAGAAATTTTGAGTCTTAGTTAGAAGGGTATATTAGTCAAGTGTGCCCGGCATTTGCCAAGTGTCGGACACGCGCAGGGTTCGACACAGATTCCAAAGTGGAATTTAGGTCAACTCCTGTCAACTGAAACTCAAGTAAGGGTTGTTGATGTTAGAACAATCTTCCTCAAGTTTCAGCTCTTACTTGAGTTTCAGTGGTTTGATTTGCAAATTACATTGAAAAATAACAATTGATGAAGATATACAAGTGTAACTGTGAAAAATGAAAGAACTACGTATGACTTGATCCCTTTGAAAGGGTATGTCGGCAACCTAAAGTTACTAGGTATAACCATAAGATCAAGTGTTAAAAATTTGTTCAGTTAAGTTATATTAGAACTTGATAACATATTCATGTTGTTTTAAGAGTTGAGACCAGTTTCAGATGGCATAATGACTTATTTGGTATAAAGAGGTATGAAACTTTTTAAAGTTATGTACCTAATGCATGCTGAACGACTGGGATTTGAATTTCAATTTTAACTGTATAGTTTTATAGGTGGAAAATTTATTGGGAAATGTCCTTTTTACAGGGGAAACTCTACCGGTTTTCCGGCAGAAATTAAACCCTTAAGTGTGTTTTTCGTTTTGCGGTTCAGGGCAAGAGGGTTATTTTGGACATTTATGCTCGACACCTACCAGGTGTAGGACACACATAGGCTTCGTCACAGATTCCAAAGTGAAATTTGGGTCGGGTCCAGTCATGCGCATCCACATGAGAATGGTGGGATCACGTTGTATTATTAAATGTCAACAATATCATTGGCCAAAAATGGAAAGAGGCAATTCCATTACATATGAGAATGAACGTGAAAGAACAAACCCAGATTACGAACCCCAAAGAGATGTTAACCCTGAAGGTTACGCATGAGTGTTGGACTAAAGAGGAATATACTCACTTTGTATGACACAATGTTTTTAGTAGAAACAAATGCAATCGTGCCTTCTTATTGCATATTTACGGAGACCAACATGTTATCTTTAAGGGTTATTAAATGCACGGAGCATATTGTCAGAAGAGATTCCCTAAAGATGTATAAATATCTGGGTTAAAGCTATATAATGTGTCATAAAGTGTGATCCCTTCAATCCCTGAAGGATTGAAATAGCATGAAGCAAGTCCCTGAAGGACATGAGCCTGAAGCACAAATTTTGTACTCAATACTAATATGTATAAATTGCCTCAGTGAGTACACTAGTTATGATATGGTTGCAACACATTACAACTCCTGAAGAGTTGATAATTGATCAAAACTCCTAAAGAATTAATACTTGGTCAAAACTCTTAAAGAGTTCAAGAAATATTTGTTTCGGCCTGAAGATCGAGTACTATGCCAAGAAGATTCTTGCTTATACTAAGAAAGTAATGAAGCATTTTTATGTGGATTATCTGTTAGGCACTTAAATGATTTTCCATAAGCATACTGGATCGGACATTATATTTTTCAGATAGAGCTCAGCTCTATCACCACCACTTTAGATGGTGTGAGACATATTTGATCCTATCTCTGCATAAAACCATATATGGGCATATTCTTTTCAAGTGAACTTACAAATAGCCCAGGTTTTGTTTGATTCGCAGACTTTGGAAATTCTATGATTTACATAGAGATAGCTCACTGCAAATATATTTGCTTACTCAACTACATAAATTGTTGATGGCTACATCATTCACTCAGTCCGAAAGATGTTCCCTCTAGAAAGATAGTCGCGAAAATATTAGGGGGAGATATTCTTCAGGGGGAGCATCCAACAATATTACAAGATTGACTCACATAAGCAGTGTCAACTATGACATTCAGAAAGATGATCAACAATATGGCTTAAAAGATATTTTGCCAAGCATCAGAGGGAGCGACCTGTCAATAAAGATCATCACAGTCTGTACTCTTTTTCCTTCGTCCAGGTTTTTATCTCATTGGGTTTTTCCTGGCAAGATTTTAACAAGGCAATGTCACACGCATGTCAATATACACAAAATTTTATGTTACACATGGTTATGTACTCTTTTTCCATTTGACCAGTTTTTGTCCCACTAGGTTTTACTGGCAAGATTTTTAAGGAGGCATATTCCAGACATTATGGTCACCAAGGGGGAGTGTTATAAAGAAAATTGTGGAGCCCACATAAAAAAAAAAAGAAGGAAATAATATTCAAAAAGCTTAATGATGATGTTGGAAGCCATCCAATTTGCCTATAAATAGGCTTCTCATTGCTTAGCAAAACACACCAACGGAGAAGAGAGGAAAGAAAGGAAGAGAAGAAAGAAAGAGTAGGAGAAAAGAAGAGATAGTGTGAAATCTGAGTTTAGTGAGTTCTATGAGAGAATTCTGTCAGTGTAAACACTAGAAGAGCAAATATAATTCTACTCCCAATATTCAGTGGTACTTTTCATACTCTGATTATTTTATTTTTAGGCTTATTTACTGTAGTGGCCCCTGAAACTTTGGTCAAATCTCACTTACCACCCAAAAGTTAAAGTGGCCCACTTAACCCCCTTGACCATGATTTCGTATTCCACCACTAGCCATACCCACCCACAACCATCATACATGACCGGGTTGTTGCCGCCGGGCCAACTCGAGAAGAGAACCTCGGCAATGTGGCCCCAGAAGAAGGTCATGTGCATCGTCATCTTGCGGCGACTCGTGGGCATGAACCCAGCACTATCGTTAAACGATGTTGATGGGGGCGGCCGAGATGGGATGTTGTGATGTGAAGCAGCCATTTTGTTAGTTTATAACAGAGTTTTGATTGGGTAATTGTAATGGCGAGCCTAATATTTTTGACAATTTGTATATATATGTTGTATATGGTTGATGGATGAACTATGGTAGAAGATTATGTTATAGATTAAAATGTGGGCATATGGCAGTCGGCGAAACGAGTGTAAGGCAAGGGTTTATGGACCCACGAAAGAGGGAACATAATGAGAATTTCTCTTGTTTTGGACTTCTGGTATTTCATTTTAAACAGAATGAGAACGTGTGGTCCAGGTTACTTAAGATTTGATGCCATAACAAGCCAACTGAATTGTATGGCTGGTTGGGGTATGGGTGATTATGGATGATGGTGCGGTGGTTGGTTGCAGAGAGAGGAGAAAGGAGGAAGGATGATGCTATTCTTTGGGGATAAGAATTGATCTTTGGGAAGAGTTGGATTAAAGCATAGGGAAGAAAGATTTTTATTTATTAATTTTTCCATTTTTGTAAATATAATTTTTTAATTAAACAAGTAATTATATTATATTATATTATACTAGCCTTTTGGCACATGCTCACGCATGTGCCAATTGGTCTTATTTTTATTTTTTATTTTATTTTTAGAATTAAGAATATATAATATGGATAGTTATGTTTCATAAAAGTAGGACATATTATCTGATTTTGTTTTTATTTTTATTTTTTATATATAAAAAAGTGAATTTACCATATTATCCTCATTTAATTAATAATTTCAATTTTTAATGTTTGAATTAACCAAGAGCATTTTTTGGTATTTTGAATGTTTCATCATTCTATGCATTTTGCTTTATATATATAGATTTTATATTTAATTCAATTTAAATTTTAAACAAAAAAAGTGGGTTATTCACATGACACATCATCACTTATAGTAAAAATACTAAAATAGTCATGTCACATCATCAAAATTGACAGAATTATTAACGGAGATAACAGTGGGGGTTAAAATGGAACACAAAATTACGGTTAATGAGGTTAAGTGGGTCATTTTAACTTTAAGGGAATAAAGTAAGATTTGATTGAAATTTTAGAGGGCACTACAGTAAATAAGCCTTATTTTTATTACAAAACTAGTGTTTTTATTTTTCTTCTCAAAGATATGACAAGTGGACTTTCTATTGTATTTGGTTGGGCAAGTTGGTGCTGACCATATTCGTCCGCGATAAGATCACATCACGGAAGAAAGATGATGTCTCTATCTGGCTTGGCTTGGGATCGTTGAGTCATTGACTTTAGTCTTAGCCCAAAACAACTACTGTAAGAACCCAACACAAAACGTTCCATTTCTTGCTATTCAGCTTGAGTTTAGTGTATTCTAGTTTCTGGGTTTGGATATTTTGGATTCTTATTTGTTTTTCAATCTCAAGTCAGTCAGATGATGTATACATAAGTGAGAAAGAGAAGTCTAAGACTAAGATGGATGAAGGAAATCATAGCGCCAGTAACTTGCCATTACGAAGGGAAAGTGGTGTTGACATTGAGAATTTGGATTTATTGGATGGAAAGGAGAGGGAGAACACGACGACATACGGCGAACCACTTCTGACTAAGAGGAAAAATACAACTTCCCAGATTGCCATTGTGGGTTCCAATGTCTGTCCCATTGAGAGCCTTGACTACGAGTAAGCTTCTCTTCCTCACCTAAGAATAGTTGTCAAACCGTTGTTCAAAATGGGCCTTTACATCTTTGATTTTTTTGGATCCTCCTCCCTCTATGACTGGTTTGAATCTGGGTTTGGTGTGAGTTACTGACTAAATGTTATGCCATAATAGGAGGAGACATAACTTGTTTATCCCAAAAAGGAAAAAGGGTCTGTTTCCTAGATTATTTTGGCAGGGTTTACTTATCTTGATAGCTCCTTTTTTTGGTTTTTTTGGTTAATTGTTTTGATGGTTATGGCCTAGGAAGATTCCATCTTTGATTTGTTTTTGGTGGTCCTGACTCCTGAGGACATGAAAAAAGATAAATGTGCTAGGACCACGCTACCTACTTTCGGATCTTTAGTTTATGATCACTAGATTTGTTGTACTTCAGTAATTATGTCTTTAGAATCACCTTCCCCAAGAATATTGAACTTTAAATTCTGATGATTTCTTTACTGAATGTTTTGCACGAAGGAGATTGGCGACTTTTATCGGTTAGTTGGTAAAATGTCAACCTCATTTAAAGAGGTTAATTCAGGTGGAACAATGGTCCTCATAACAGGTCTACAATAAGCTTTAGCTAGCTACTTTTCATATCATTTCAAGGTTGGTCAAGGGGATGAAAACTTTCTAGTTCATGGGATCCCTGGCCCATGGCTCATGCTAACTTTATTGTCGAGTTAACACAAATTTCATCCAAGACCAGGGTGGATGCTAGATGTAAATTTCAGTTTTCTGGTTAGAGGCATAATTGCCTACTGAGGGAATCAGGGAACTTGGTTTTGTTCTCCTTTGAGATTAAATGTAGATCCTTCTATTTTTATTAGCAATATTCACAATTGTGGCTTGCTTCGTAGTTTTACCTCAGTAATCACATATATTGCTCGCATTTGCATTATATCATTTTCTTTCCTGTTCCTGTGGGAATGCTCCTAAACATCTTTAGTTCATTTCTTCTGTGTTTATGCAATGTCCCGATCTGAGTAACATTTCGGGGTGATATATGATGCCTTGGGTGCTTAAATACTTTATGGAATTATCTTACTCTTGTTCTGTAGGTGCTGTTTGCTGAGTGCTAAGATATCGTTTGTTTAAAATGCATTGCAGAATTTTTGAAAATGAACTATTTAGGCAAGACTGGAGGTCAGCTAAGAAGAGTCAAGTATTTCAGTATGTTGTGCTAAAGTGGGCTTTTGCACTTCTCATTGGGCTTGTTACTGGACTAGTTGGCTTTTTCAATAATATTGCAGTTGAGAATATAGCTGGATTCAAGCTACTTTTGACTAGCGATCTCATGTCTGACAAAAAGTAAGCCTTGTTTCCACAACGTCAATCTATGATATTCTTTTTCTTTGACATTTTTTTTATTTAAATCTTCAGTATACATTTTTCTGAGGAAACTGTGTAGTCTTTTAATATAAATTAGTTGCTACATTCTGTCGTACAAGCCATGAAGGTTGGCAATGAAAATGGGCTGTAATAGCATCTTTTATCTGTACTGATAGCTGACACATACTGTACATGCAGGAAATAATCCTGCTTAGCAGGAGCTGCCAAAAAAAAAAAAAACACCTCCATTCTGATAGGTGATTGTAAATAGGAAAATGATACACCACTAACCTCAGAACATGGAGGATTGGGTGTAGCCTTATATTAATTCTTGTAGTCTGCTTCAAAAGAAGTTTTTTTATATGTAATAAGACAATGTATTGAATTCATCCTTAATGATATGGAAATTCCTTGAGAAGCATTGCACTTTTTTTGTTTTTGTTTTTTATTTTGAGGGGTGGGGGGCCCGGGGCTTAGGGAGAGGAAGTTCTAGTTATTAAAATTATAATAAAAAAAAAATATATGAATGAACTCTTCTATTTCTGACTTACAGCCTCTTTTTTGTTTTTTGTTTATCTCAAAATTTCAGAGTGCAGAATTTTTTTTTTTTTTTTTGAGCTTTTCTGTGTGGCTGATTTGCTGCTGACAACTATGTTTTTTTTTTGTTTTTTTTCTTTTCGTTTGGAATAAAGAGAAATATAATATAGAGCTATAGCATGGTAGGAGCATGGGGGAGAACACAAAGAGGGGCTGGAATTTTGTTAACTGGTTCTTGAATTGGTTAAGTGTGGGCAAATATAAGTGTCTAGGTTATTTAACATGCGTCATTAGATAAACAGTTATCCACAACAAATCTGCCTTTATATTATTTGCAGCAGAGAAAATCCAAAGCGATAAATTGGAAGAAGTTTCTTATAGAATGGACGTGTACCATGTTTTGGATTGAGTGATCCAGGATCATGGTTCGTAAGGATATTATTGTACTGTGGTAACTTTGCTTTTTGGTCATTATCGCTAACGTAAATGCTTGAGCAATGCTTATTTGAGTTTGCTGGATGTGTTTATAGAATAAATAAATGTAACAGTAAAATGGTTTCAGTGCAGATATTACAAGGCTTTTGCAGCATATGCTGCCAGCAATGTAGGTTTAGCCGCAGTAGCAGCAGCTCTTTGTGCATTTATTGCTCCTGCTGCGGCAGGTTCTGGTATTCCTGAGGTGAAAGCTTATTTGAATGGTGTGGATGCGCATTCAATACTGGCTCCGAGCACTCTCTTTGTCAAGGTACAGAGGGATTACCCTCCCCCCTCCTCTTCCACTGCGTGTGTGCACATGCATGTGCATACATTTGTATATAGGACAAATATATGTGAGTTATTATGAAAGTGGAAATAGTTCAAGTGTCATGTTCTTTCCTCGTTTGCATGTGAAAAGGAAAACGAAAAAGGATATGGAAATGGAAAGGAAAAAAAAAAAGTTTAGGTTTGTCGGAGGAAGGAGAGAGAAAATGCGGGAAGTGAGAAGATGGGAGAGGGCAAGATTAAGGCTAAAATTTGAAGAACTTGTTTTTAAGGAAGAGAGTGTGGGGGCAAAAGGAAAAAGTGGATTGGGAAAGAGACTTAATGCCAAACTGTTTCATGAAGTGGTAAATGGGAGAAAGAGGGAAATTTGATAGGAAGGTTGGAACTGAGTGATGGATCTTTCACTGACAATGAGAGGAGGATTGAGGAAGAAATATTTAACTTTTTCAAGAGACTTTACTCAAAGGAATGAGGGGAAAGGCGGAGTGTGGAAGGGTTGGATTGGCACCCTATTGAGGTGGAAAGGGCTAGATGGTTAGAGACGCTGTGCTTCCATCTATTGTATTATTGTGCACCAAATACAATACCTTATTACAGTATATATCTCTCTTCTATGTGTTATTTGCTCTTTTGACATATTTTGCTCGAAAGGTATTTTGCTTTTGTTTATGTAGCACATCCTCAAAATTCTGAATTGTCAGAGATTACCTGATTAATTTTTTCTTTAATAAACCTAAATCTAAATCTTTGAATTTCTATCTGATGCATATCATTCTGGGTTTAACAGATTTTTGGTTCCATTCTTGGTGTTTCTGCCGGATTTGTGGTTGGTAAAGAAGGGCCTATGGTACATACAGGTGCTTGCATAGCCTCTTTTCTTGGGCAGGGAGGCTCTCGCAAGTATCATCTAACTTGGTCATGGCTAAGATACTTCAAAAACGATCGCGACCGACGAGACTTGATCACATGTGGTGCTGCTGCTGGTGTAGCTGCTGCATTTCGTGCCCCAGTTGGTGGTGTTCTGTTTGCTCTTGAAGAGGCAGCTTCGTGGTCCCTCTCTCTCTCTCTCTCTCTCTCTCTCTCTCTCTCTCTCTCTCTGAACACGGAGAGAAAATTAGGTAAAGTTTTTTCATTTGAATCAATAGGCAAAGCTGAAATTCCCTTGCAAGAGACATCTATTTGTATAGACAGTTAACTAATAAATTCCCCCTATGATAAGACTCTATCTTTCAACCTTAGGAATTGACCAAGAAGTATTTCTGTATATTTCTCAACATAATCGTACAATGGCTCCCCAATTGGTAATAAAGCCACCGACGAGGTTACAACAGTAATTTTTAACAAAGTCCCAACTAAAACTTGACATGTGGCTAACTGACTAACCAAAACTGTAAAACAGTTTTGCCCCAATTCCTATCACACTATGATGAGGAAATAATAGTAATCATAAATCTACTAAAATATTAATAATAAAAACCAAGTAAACAAGTCTAGTTTCCATATTTTTGCCCACATCAAATTACTTCAGTTTGTTCCCATCACATTTTCTCTCTTTTCTATTATTTTGTAGTGTTTTACTGTCCATGCTTCAGCAAGCTTGCTGGAATTTGATATGTAACCAGGAATTTAGACTGCTAAGTTAGTGGCTCATTTATGTTTCCTATATAAGTGGTTGAAGTGATATCCATTCTGAACACACGATGCGTTAAAGAACGTTAAGGGCTTAAAAAATGAACTCGCATATTCCTTTTTCTGTCCCTTTGAAAACAGAGACGATGGTTACATTATCATGGGCAATGTTGTGGATTTTACCTGCATAACTGGTATGTTACACAAATTATGTAGAAACTGTTAATGTTTTTATTCTTACCACAATTGTATTATAAAATTAGGGTTACAGTGTTTTAAGATATAGAAATTTGAATGAAATGGTAAGCGCCCTGGTTATGTAGGGATTACCATCCTGAGAGGCAACCCTTGTCTGGTGAAATGGTAAACTAAGTAGAAGCAGACAGGTTTAATTCTCCTGCACAGGCAATTATTACCAAAAGTTGAAGGGTAGGATTGTATTTAGATCTCACTTTGATCTTATTTCCAATTTTGTATGATAGAAAGATCTTAGAATAATACTAAATTCTTTACTCATCAGAAATATAAATGATTAGAATCCTTGCTTGCAAGGTATTTCCTTGAGATTGCAAAATGGTTTCAGTACCATGATTATTGGTGCTTGGAATGTGTAACACATTGGTTCTAAGAATACGTGTTGTCTTTACTGGAAAACTTCAGGTGGCGGAGTGCTCTTCTTTGGAGGACATTTTTCACAACAGCAGTTGTCGCCATAGTATTGAGAGTCTTCATACAATTTTGTACTACCGGAAACTGTGGGCTATTTGGGCAAGGAGGTCTTATCATGTATGATGTCAGTGCAGCCAGTGCAACATACAGTGTTCCTGATATACTAGCAGTATTATTCCTAGGAATTCTTGGAGGAATTTTTGGAAGCGTTTATAACTATCTTGTGGATAAGGTCATTCGAACTTATAGCATCATTCATGAGTATGTTCTCCTACACAATTGTGACTTCTGGGATTTTTCACTTGTAAAATAATCTCCTCTAAATTTGTTGGTCATGTGCTAAAAATACTGATCCCATTCTTTCTATCACGACTGAGAACATGACCTTATTTAGATGCAGTGATAAGGCATCTGAGATTTTGATCATAATCATTTGCTCAGTTGCTCTGGTTTTGTTGTTTTTAACCAAGTTCGCATGTTTTCCTCCTAAATTTATCTGGCTTTTCTTTTGCTGCAGAAAAGGTGCTGCGGCCAAAATCTTACTTGTTATCACCATTGCTCTCTTGACATCATGTCTTTCTTATGGCTTACCATGGTTTGCAGTGTGCCAAGCATGCCCTACTGATGAGAGTGTGAGTTGTCCTACTGTTGGTCAATCTGGTAACTATAAAAGCTTCAATTGCCCATCAGGCTATTACAATGACCTTGCCTCCCTATTTCTAAACACTAATGATGATGCCATTCGTAATCTATTCAGCACCAGTACAACAAAAGAATTTCACATTTCCTCTCTTTTCATCTTCTTTGCCGCCGTTTACTTCCTTGGAATTATCACTTACGGCATTGCTATTCCCTCTGGGCTCTTCATCCCTGTCATATTAGCTGGAGCTTGCTATGGACGTCTTGTTGGGAGGTTGTTTGAATCAATCTCTGCTCTTGACACAGGTCTCTTTGCCCTACTTGGAGCTGCCTCCTTCCTGGGTGGCACTATGAGAATGACAGTCTCCCTATGCATTATACTGCTTGAACTCACCAATGACTTACTTTTGCTTCCCCTCGTCATGTTGGTTCTCCTTATTTCGAAAACTGTAGCTGATAACTTCAACAAGGGTATTTATGACCAAATAGTTAAAATAAAGGGATTGCCTTATTTGGAGGCTCATGCAGAGCCATACATGAGGCATTTGGTCACAAGTGATGTTGTTTCTGGTCCATTGGTTACTTTTTCTGGTATTGAGAAGGTAGGACGCATATTGGATGCTTTGAGGACTACAGGGCATAACGGATTTCCAGTGATTGATGAACCACCTTTTTCAGACGCTCCAGAATTGTCTGGTCTGGTTTTAAGGTCTCATTTGCTTATTTTGCTTAAGGGTAAAATTTTTTCGACGGACAGGGTTGTTTGTGGAGCAGAGATCTTACGCAGATTTGCTGCATTTGATTTCGCTAAGGCAGGATCAGGAAAGGGAATCAAATTGGAGGATCTTGATATCGAAGAGGAGGAGATGGATATGTATGTTGATCTCCATCCTATTACAAATGCATCGCCGTACACAGTCGTTGAGACTATGTCACTAGCCAAAGCTGCTATTCTCTTTCGACAACTTGGTCTAAGACACCTGTGTTTGGTACCAAAGAGCCAAGGGGTAAGTTGTTCTCCCCTTACCTTTCTCCTGCTCTCTTTCTTTCTGTGTATGGTTAGTTCTGGCATGTGAATAAGGCTGCCAATCTTGGTGGAAATTTAAGCACTATACCTTATCCTGGAGAAGAAATCTCAACATTTCCTTTCCTCTTTTTTTTGTTTTGTTCTAGCTCAAGTTAAATAGGCCACTGTTTGCATCTGCTTTGGTATATTTCTCTTTATTTACTCTTGGAAACTCTAGATGATTTTGTCTCCAATCTTCCTTACCTTATAAACTTCAATAACAGTTCCAAATAAATGTCCGAAACTAATTTCTAAGCAACTTTCTGATGTTTTTCTGTACACATTGCAGAGACCTCCAATTGTTGGAATTCTAACACGGCATGACTTCATGCCGGAGCACATTTTGGGACTCTACCCTCATATCAAGGCTCACTAGTAGACCTTAGAGCATGTTTTTGTGCCGTCATGTGAAGTCGTTGGTGTTTGAACTTCTGGAAGTGAGATTTTCTATGAACACTTTAGAGCATGTTGAATGATCAGGTTTTGTATCAGCAATTATAAACATCTGTATCCAATTCGTATAATAAACTGGAGGATAATGTTGAAAAGTAGATGTCCTAAAACCCAACTGTATGATATATCAGTAGGATAGGATATAATATATATATATATATATATTCACTGTACATTATTTACACTAAATAGAGGGTAAGTCCTTAGTTGAATCATTAATGTATGAGCGGTTCGGTTCGATTTATGCTAAAAAAAAGTTGGCAAAAAGTCACTTTTGGTTCCTGTGGTTTACTATTTTTACTACTAAGGTCCTTGTGGTTTCAATTTGATCATTTTTGCCTTTGTGGTTTCAATTTGAAGTAATTTAAAGACAATCCTTAAATTCTGTCAAATTCTTCGAACTCTGGTTACTTATTAAGGGGTATTTTCAGTCCAAAATTTATAAAAAAATTTATTCCTTAAAACAATATTAATATAAATTAAAGAAAATTAAAATTTTAAAATAAATATATAACCTTTCTCCCCTTCTCCTACCAAAAAGATAGCGGGAGGTGAACCGCGTCTTCCGTTTTCTTGGCATCTAAACTATGGTGCATTTGGATGAGGCAAGTAAACTTGGGGTTTTGACAAAACTCAGAATTTCTAAATTGACATGAACAAATTCCGGTGTTTGGATAAAAAAAAACATAGAAATTTAGAGATTCCGCTTGGAAAAAAACATGGAATTTGGAGATCATAAATCCCAAGTTTAAATTCTATATAAAAGTCGTCATTTCTAAAATTCCAAGAGAGATTGAGTTTAAAAAAAGAAGATAACTTTACAAATAAAGGTTAAATTCCGTGTTTTAAATCAGTCACCCAAACAAGAAACTTCACAAATTCTAGAACATTAATTTCTGTCATTTTAAATTCTGTCATTTATGAAATCCTTTGTACTTTTAAATTTCCTCATCCAAACGCACTGAAAGCTTTGAATTTTGGGATTTGGGAACTGGGAATTGGGTTTAATAATTTGTTTAAATAAATTATTAGCCTCTCTGCATGCGCTTTCACGCCTGCCAGAGGCATTTTTTTAATTTAAAATTTATTTTAGAATTAAAAAAGATAATGAGTAGTTGTGTTTCATAAAAATAGGATCCATTATCTGATTTTTTTTTTAATTTTAAATTTTTTTATATGAAAATGTGTGAATTTACTATATTATCCTCATTTAATTAATAATTTCAATTATTAATGTTTGCATTAACCGATGACATTTTCTAGTATTTTGAATGTTTCACCATTCTCTTACTTTTGCTTTATATATATAGATTTATACCATGTATTAATGGGTAGAAATCGGCCCACTCAATTTCCCACCATTTCCATTTCCGTCTTCCATTTTCCGCAGAGATAGAGAGAGTGAGCAAAGATGATGACGACCCAGAAAGCAGGGGGTCGAGATCAAGGCCGTACGATTGGCTAAACAACTTCCATTTTCAGTCCAAAATTGATTTGCACTGCCCAACTAACCAACACCCACCCAACCCCAGCCAGCCACCACCTTCCTGTAATCCAACCACCATCACAACCACCCAAGCCCACCCCAAACCAAAATAACCAAATTGTGCCAAAATCATCCAACAGTGCTTGCTGGAACTTTGAAATCGTTTAGGATTAAGTTCAGACCTTCTTTAGCCACAACAATGCTATGCAATGAAAATCAATTTTAAAAGATTATTATAAGATTTCTCCCAAACAACCAATCGCCACCAAAGAATCTCCATATAAAAAAAATGGTGTTTGCTTTGTTCTGCGCCCAGGAGGCTATGCTCTGCCCTCAGGTCTGGAACTTTCTCGAAGTCAGCATGGATTGAGACAGAAAATCTCGGAATTGAAGGATGGGCTGTTAGTTTTATAACATCTAAGCAGACATACAAATAATACACAAAATACCTGCAGCAGAAACCATTGTTACAGTAGACAGGTCTTCCACCTCTTTAACAAGCTCTATATATCACTCTATCTCAATGGGGCTCAAGAACTTTTGTGATTCGGTGCTTGACAGAGGCAGGGACCTATCCTATTTATAATGAGCTTTAGTTGGTGTAATTCTAATAGGACTCTCCCATTACAATCCTATTAGAATTCAACTTGATCACCAAGTAACCGGATGACTATGTCCAACTCTTTTAATTATATTAGGACTCCAATGCTTAAATAGAATATCTTAATCACATCCGTATAAACTTCAGAATACTTGTTCTAATTGATCTTGGTATCTGTCTCAGAGTCCTAGCCAAGTTCAATGAGTGTGTGACCTTAAAACGCTTACATGGGCTTCTACGACGACGACAAGGAGAGCGCAGGTTTCCGGTACAATTCCGAGTCAAACTGAGCCTGGGTTCTGCCGTCGCTGGGCTTGGTGAAGTCGGTGTTCCAGAAGAACGCGGCCTCGTTTAGCTCCTCGCCAGCGGCGGAGAAGGGCAGCGAGGACGAGAAGAAGCTGAGGTACTAATCCAACGACGGCAATCGTTGATGGCAGAAGTTAGTTGAATCCATTGTTTTGAGTTTTTTTTGGGAGAGAGAAAGCGCTGTTTGCAAGGAGAAATTTCTATTATTGTTATGGATTAACTACACTTTAGTCCCTGGAGGTTTAACGTCAGTATCGAAACGGGCCCTAAAGTTTCATTTTAATCAATTTCGTACCCAACATTTCAAAATATTACCAATTTACACAAGCCGTTACATTGACCATCAAAGTCAGACGTTAACTGCTGACGTGGCAGTCGTGGGACTCACCTCATAACCAAACAGTAGTTAGAAAGAGACGAAATGAAGGGCAATTTCGGAAAAAAAATTATAAAAAACTCTTTAAAATATTATTAAATTAGATTTTTTTTTAAAAAAAAAAAAAATTCCCTACTTTCTCTCTCTCGCTCTCTCTCTCCTCCTATCTCCCTCCCTCCCTTTGCCCAGAACTTGAAAACCCAACAGACCCAAGAGCTCGAAATCATCCAAAGCCACAATCGCTCCATATGGCCAGTTATTTGCCTTAAAGCTAATGGTAGTAAATGTAGTTATTATTTCCAACATCAAATAGTGAATCACCAAAGATGAACAACGCTGCACGTTTCTCCTGAAGCCCGGAATTTCCATGGCCATAGTTGCTTGGAAAAAGAAGGCTTGCACAGAGCCAGGACGAATGTATGAAGCCTTGAACTTGCAATTCTAGTTCTGGTTTGCTTTGTATAATCTTCTCTTCTGTTTCACGCCTATATATAACCCACCACTGAGCCACCTCTTCCCCCGCCAACTCACATCTTCGACCCATCTCCGACCACCTCCCCACCCAACCACCATTGAAGCCATACAAACCCCACCCACATATCCGCCCCTCCCCAACTCACAATCTCATTCTCTCCCCTTCTCCTCCTGTTATTTTCAGGAATCCCCAAATTAGCTAAGCTCCCTCCTCTAATTCTCCATCTGTGCCCCATCTCTGCCTCTCCAAGAAGGTCCCGACATGTTATCCACCATAAAGAAGTAGTCCCAAGCCATGCCCTTAGACTCAGGCATTGGAGGCACTGGCTTCATCTCCGGCGTCCTCGGCGGCGACGACGTCGTTTCCGAAGCCCCATTTCTCGATCCCCTTTGAAACCTTTTATGACTCTCATCTTCATCATCATTTTCATGGTCCTCTTCCTCCTCACCCTCTTCAGCAATGACCAACCTAACTCTCTGCACCCCCTAATTTTCCGAGCCTCAGCGCTCATCGCCGGCAAGCTAGTGACCCTCTTGATAGGACTCGGAGTGAAAGTAGGTAGAGGAGGCGGAGGCGGTGGAAGGTTGAGATTCTCGAGGTGAGGCGGGGGGGAGGAGGTAGCTCAGTGGTGGGGTCCAGTGGCCGATTGTGGCTTTGGAGGATTTCGAGCTCTTGGGTCTGTTTGGTTTTCAAGTTCTGGGTAAAGAGAGGGAGGGAGATAGGAGGAGAGAGAGAGAGAGCGAGAGCGAGAAAGTAGGGAGTTTATTTTATTTATTTTTTTAAATCTAATTTAATAATATTTTTAAAGAGTTTTTTATAATTTTTTTTCCGAAATGGCCCTTCATTTCGTCTTTTTCTAACTATTGTTTGGTTATGAGGTGGGTCCCACGACTGCCACGTTAGTAGTTAACGTTTGACTTTGACGATCAATGTAACGGCTGGTGTAAATTGGTAATATTTTGAAATGTTGGGTACGAAATTGATTAAAATGAAACCTTGGGGCCCATTTCGATATTGACACTAAACCTACAGGGACTAAAGTGTAGTTAATCCTATTGTTATTTTAAAACTAATTTCCCTAGAAATTTATATTTGAATTGTTTATTTAAAAAAGGAAGAAATCTTTTAATAATTTTTGGACCAAATTGCCCCTTAGTAAGTAACAGAAATTAGAAGAATTTGACAGAAATTAAGGATTGTCCTCGAATTGCTTCAAATTAAAACCATAGGGGTAAAAGTGATCAAATTGAAACCACAGGGACCTTAGTGGTAAAAGTGGTAAATCACAGGGGACCAAAAGTGATGTTTTGCCAAAAAAGTTTATTTTTCTACCAAACCGCAATCAGTTCAGTTAGGTCCAGTTCTACTATCTTTAATGCATAGAGGTTTTTCAATTATTCTTCGATTTACAGTTTACATACGTAAGAGTATAAATAAGTTGTCTCTGAAAAAAATAAAAAGAGAGTACAAATAAAGTTGTTGATTAATTAAAAAAGAAAAGCCAACGTGGTTTAAGTTTAAACTCCACATATAATTTGGGGTGTTGTTAGACAAACCTTAAAATTAATGAGTACATCATATGATTTAAGTACACCCTAATATTTAAAACAAATTGTAAAATTAATTAAGTACATCCTATTTAACTATAAAAAATAACCATGGTATACTCTAATACACTATCACACAACACCAAACCCATTCGAGAGATGACTGACGAGTTCGAATTCTGAGCAGACACAGTTCATTACAAGCACTGGAAACCAAAGCTTCTCAAATGCCTGGCTGATTGAGAACACACATACAGATCAAATTGTTGTTCCTGATGTGAGTTTGATGTGCTAGTTGTCATATTTTATGCATTTTGTTTCAAACTAAGTATACTATCATTGTTTATGCCATTTATTGTGAACTATGGCTGCAAGTAGAGAGTGGAAAGTGAAAGCAATTCCAACCCATAACCAGACTATGGATGAAATGAAACATTTACTTCTTTGTATAGCT